ACACCTGTCCCCCAGGGGCTGGACGATAGAGCCCTCACATCCAGGAAGGTGACAGAATGACACCTGTCCCCCAGGGGCTGGACGATAGAGCCCTCGCAGCCAGGAAGGTGACAGAATGACACCTGCCCACTCGCTGTCACTTGCGTTTTTATTTCCAGTGGGCGGGATTTCACATTCCAACCTGCTGTGACCCAATCGCCTTGTGGAGTGCTAGAGCACCTGCTCTCACTGTTCTGTGTTGAGAAGAGAGGAAGCTGCTCAGCCCATGTCTGTGCTGCTGATGGTAGGAAGAAAGTGGCCTGGAGGCTGGGAGCTCAGAGAGACAGGGAGGAGCTGATCACTCTTCATTATTCCTGAGAAACCAAGGTGTCTGGTTCCATGGCCGTATTCAGGTAAAGAAGGACCACTGGCCATTTGGCTCTGGAGAGACAGTCCACAGGCCTCGGGACACAGCGTGCGCTGTCCCATGTTGGTGGCTCCTATGACCCCCCAGATGGACACCAGTGTGGCCCTGCTGTAGTACAAGACCAAACACCCCTGACACTCAACGTGTGTGTTGACATCGGCCATCTCAAGAATTTCTGCATGTACAGATCAGTGACGTCGATGACGTTAAGTCAAACAACCCAGCTCATTCTCATTGTCCCAACCATCCCACTGCCGTTAACCTAAACTCACTGCCCCTGGGGAGGACTAGCCCATAGTTTCCCCTTCACCCATCCCTGGCCCGACTGCTCATCTTCGGTTTCGTGTGTAGTAGTGAGACTGTCCTGTGTCTGTCCTTTTGTGATGGGCGGATCCCCTCAGCATGATGCTGCCAGTGTCTACACATGTGGTGGCAGGCGCCAGGACTTCATATCTCTTCATGATGGAGTGACATTCCATTGTTTTCTGAGGATAAAACTCAGACTCTGGAAGACATTTTCTGAGAGTACAAACATCTGAAGATGGGGAGATAGCAGTCCTACCGGGTAAGGTCAGCCATCCCTCCGAGCCTCGGAACAGCAGGATGCTCAGGCACAGCTCCCTTCCTGGCCGGTGTGACTGTGGGCAGCTGCGATGCAGATGCACAGAATTGTTTCTAACTGGTTACCGTTTGTAGTTCGGACAGAGCGGGTGACTGTAACCTCAGGCCATCTGCACACCTGTAACCTGTGTCTCTTGTGTGACAGTGAAGACACCTGCTCACCCACGGTGGCTTGTGTATCCCTGTGATGCTGGAAGCTATCACACTGGTAGAGGGATCTTGGTGGAAAGCAGAGACTATCAGAAGGATTTTAGCTTGTGTTTTACTCATTACACAAAGACATCCGACTGTAGCTCATAGCAAACTATGGCTAACACTGCGAAGAACGGGAATCCCAGAATCCCTTACTGCTCACGAGGAGCCTGTGCGTAGACCGAGAGTCAGTCATTCACACAGAACAAGGGAAAGATGCAGAAATGTCCTTTATCACCTGGCAGCGTGTAGTGGATTATGAGCAGGGCTGCTAACTGCAAGGCCAGCAGTTCGAATCTACCAGCTGCTCTGCTGGAGAAAGATGAGGCAGTCTGCTCCCGTAAAGATTTACAGCCTCAGAAACCCTGTACAGGGTCTCTGTGAGTCAGATCCGACTTGGTGGCAGACACCCACCACCCCCATTCAGTCTGTATGCTGACCTAGTAATTTGAGAAGCTGGAATATATGAAGATGAATGTGGCATCAGGACGGAAGGAAGATGCATTAGCAACTTGTGATATGCAGACACACCCTTGCTTGTTGAAAGCTAAGAGGACTTGAAGCACTTGCTGATGAAGATCAAAGACTACATCCTCCAGTATGGATTATGCAACAGAAAACAAAAATCCTCTCAGCTGGGCCGATAAATACCATCATGATAAACGGAGAAAAGATCGAAGTTGTCAAAGACTTCATTTTACTTGCTCCACAATCAACACCTATGAAAGTGACAGTCAAGAAATCAAACGATGTATTGCATTGGGCAGATCTGTTACAAAAGCCCTCTTTAAAATCTTAAAAAGCAAAGATAGCACTTTGAAAACTCAGGATTCCCTGAACTAAGCCGTGGTGTTTTCAGTCACTTCACATGCATGCCAAATCTGGACAGGGAATAAGGAAAACGTAAGAATTGTTGGTGAAGAATATTGTAAGAATCGTGTACTGAAAGAGAACAAACAAGTCTATCTGGGACAAAGTACAGCCAGAATGCTCCTTAGAAGCCAGGATGGGGAGACTGGCTCTTGGTCTTTGGCACGGTATCAAGAGGGACCAGTTCTTGGAGCAGGACAATGTGCTTGCTGAGGTGGATGTCAGCAAAAAAGAGGAAGGCACCCCCCCACCCCCCCAATGAGATGAACTAACAGTGACAGCAGCAGTGCACTCAAACAGTAAGAATTGTGAGGATGCCCTAGGACAAGGCACTTTTGTTGTTCTTACACCCCGGGTCGCTGTGAGTCCGTACAAACAAGTTCTGAGGCTCAAGCACGAATCTCCCTTTCTGCCTCGTCCAAAAGTTGCTCAGCTCCTGGGGGAGGGATCCTAGCTGTCCTGCAGATGCCGGGGGGTAGGGGGGGGGGGGGGGGGGGGCTGGGAAATACTTGCCTAAGAAATGAGTACCACAAGGAGCCCTTCCGGAAGGAGTGTGGTGCCCTTGTCTTTGGGAAGTGGGCGCTGTGTTGGGAGTTTGACAGCTGGTTGTGGCTGGAGCACTTGAGTTACAATTGAGACCTGGGAGTGGGGTTCATTTTCGCTTGTCAGAGTTAGGGTCCTCCAGTGCCAGGGACCCCAGAAATACATGTTTCATGTTGAAAATCTGATTGTGTGCAGTTTCCTTCAGAAAGGTGCCACAGAGCTGTTTACTCCCCAGTTCCTAAAATGACCACCTCCTCCGGAAACCCAAACCCCATCGGGCTGGTGCCTGCCTTAGTCTAATCTGCTCAAATACTAAACATGCCAAGGAGCCCACTGACTCGTTCATGGGGGTCCTGCCCCACAGCGCCATGAAGTTGGGGTGGGGGCCGCTCTGGGAGCCGGGAGCATTGCCCTCAAAGCACCTGCGAAGGTGGGGAACCAGGTGAACACCACAGAACCTCCTCAGAGCCTAGAGGGCTCTTGCCGCAGTCAGGTCGTGTCTTAGGGGCGCAGGAGGATGACAGGTGGGAACTCTGGTTTCCAGGAGGGGGCAACATGCGCCGTTTCTGGAACTCTCTGGGTGAACGGAAGACCCTGTAAAGTTTCTCAGGGCTGGCCTGTCAAGGTGAGCTGGGCGCCCCTCGGGTGGGCCATGAGGGGGCAAGTCCCACTGGGCAGGCAGGATCTGTTTGTTACATAATTGCACCCACATTTCCGGGCATCTCAAGGTGGTGGGCTGCGGGTGGACATCCCGCCACTCCAGCCTGGGCTTCCTACAACCAAACTTCCAGCATCCTTGGTGCTGGAGGTCCACGTTCCAGAGTTTTCCTCACAGTGTGATGGAGTGGGGGGGGAATCCATCAGGAACCCGGACTCTGACCTCACAGGGTGTTGGGGAGGATCCACCAGGGACCAGGACTTTGCCGAGGTGAATAGTTTCATGGCTCAGTGAGGTGGTTCTCCAGGTAGGACAGCTGGCAGATCTGGTCACTCAACACTGAGTCCACGATTGGGTGGGCACTTTTCTAGGCCTGAGTGGAAGGGAGCCTCGGGAGTGGGCAGATCTGCTGGCCCCAGCAGGCTGCCGGGCGCTGTGCGAAGGGCTAATAGCTGTGGAGCCAGATGTGAGTGGGTGTTACCCTGAGCCCCCCCCATCGGTAAGAGGCACGTCATCTTCCTTCCCCTGGGATCCCTGCAGCTGGCTGTCCTCAGAGGGCACAGCCCAGGACATGGTGGGTGTGTGTGTGGTACGGGCGGAGTCCCTGAAGGCCTGTGCTTGTTGTCCACAGAGCACGTGCACCGACACCTGGAGGAGCACGAGGTGAGGTACCTGCAGTTCGCCTTCCGCTGGATGAACAACCTGCTGATGCGGGAGGTGCCCCTGCGCTGCACTGTGCGTCTCTGGGACACCTACCAGGTGAGAGCCAGTGCTCTGCGGGCTTTGGGGGCGCTGGCCTGCTCGGGGGTCTGGGTGGAAGCGTGGTCTCTGACAAGTCCCTGGCCTTCCTGTCACCTGACAGCTGTGTGATAAGGGAGGGAACTTTGTGCTCCTGCCCCCCCTCTCCAGTGGTAACTGCTGGATGGGACTCCGGCTGTGAGGTGAGGGGGGTTGTGTTCCCAGGGCTGGCTCACAGCGTTTGAGTCTGAGCCTCTTCTGCCCAGGAAGGTCACACTCTTCAGTGTTTCCAGTCACTGTAATAAAGATTTTAAAAAGCACAGGCAGGCTCAGAACAATATGAAATGGCCCACCCTCCACCAGTTTTGATGGAATTTGCTTCTTCCGAAGATTGAGTTTTCTAGAACAAACCACCTTTGTTCCCCAGAGTGTGTCCCATTGCTGATTATACCTTCTCATGTTGTTGGAAGCCGTTGCCAAAGCCGCCGTCATGCTGCGGGCCTGGGGCCCACCTGCCTTCATCATCTGTGGCAAATAGCGGGTCCCATTAGTGGGGTTAGGAAGCAGTCTGTGCAGCGCCCTAAAGAGCCAGCCTTCAGGTGGTCTTTGACTGCAGCAAGCTCGCAGGGTGTCCCCTGCACGGGGCTTCGGAAACCAGGAGTCGCCATTGCAAATTGGTGCTGGGGGATGGGCTTTGGGAGTCTCGGGCAGGAGTCTTTCTGTAAGACACCTAAGTGCCAGGCACTGGGCTGGGCTCCAGGGACGGTGGCAGAAGACTGGGCACTGTGGGACCAGAGAGCTTGGTGGTCCTGCTTATTATCCAAACCACTTCCCTACTTGGGACTCCCTTCCCCTGCCTTCCTCCCTACACAGGGCAGAGAGTTCTGACCCTGGTTATACCCACTGGCTCTGCACTCCGAGCACCCTTTTGTAGGACCCATCGGGAACCACAGCTGGGAGCCCTGCACCCCACATTAGTTTGGATGCGCCAGGGTCTCTGTGGCTCAGATGCCACTGTTCGCCTCGTGGGCTCTGCTGTCAAGTGTATGGGCGGTGACAGCATTTCTGCCCCAGACCCTGAGCCTTGTCTGTTTCACTCGTCAGTCTGGGCTATCGGTCAGGTCTTCGTTGCATTATGGGAAACCAAACTTAATATCCCCGGGAGTTGTGAGCGCTCTTCCTCCTGTGACTGGCTAGACTGCTCAGGAAGCACAGTGGCCCCTGGGCGGCTCTCCTCTGTGAGGGAACTTAGGTGTGGAGTCAGACAATGGACGTGCTGGTTGTCAGCTCTGCACCTCTCACTAAAAACTCCTCATAGGGATTAGAACTTTCAGTGGAGGTGTGGTATCTTGACTGTGCTGATTGCCCTGAATCCGTTTTTGTCATGAATTGACTCATCTGGAGCCTGGACTTGTTCCTGAGCTGACAACTCCCAACCACAACCCTCTTCCTGTCTTCAAAACTGGGGGCATTTCCATTTCTCAGGGCAAAGTAGCTATGAAATTGTATTGCGTCTCCTGGCAGTGAGAAGCCGCCGTGATAGTGGGGTGTGGTCAGGTCAGGTGATTGCTCTCCCTGAACTGGTGTTTTGCTTGTGGGGGGCATTACATCCTACCCGCCCCCCCCCCCCCAGTTAGCTTACAGCCTCCTTGGGACATATGTCAACAAAGATCCTTTAGTACCTGTCCTGTCCCCGGGCTGAAACGAGGCAGGGGAACCCAGTGCTGGGGATGCTTTGTCTCAGAAGCACCCCCATTTCAGAGAGGGCACTGATATTAGGTGCCCCTCAGTCCAGGAGACCCAGTTATGAGGCCTCCACGTGTCTACCCTCAGCCTTGACCGAGCGGGCTCCTCAGGATGGGGTGGGGGACTCACCACTGTCAACCTTAATCCAGCCAGTTGTCTTATTTTGCAGATAAAACCCCAAAGTTTCCTTGTAGCAGGCAGAGAGATCTGGAAACCCTCTAGAGTTTGCTCCCAAGTGCTGAGAACTGGTGTTTTCCTACAAGTGGCTGCGGGAAGTGCCGGCCTCTGGTGTGGGGGCTGCAGCTCTCATGGTCAGGGCGTGGGGGAGGGCCTTGGTCCTTGGCCCCTTGGTCATCTTCATGTTTTTCTTCCTCTGTGGCTCCTCTGACCCCATTTCTGCCTCATCCCTGCATCCAGACGTCTCTTTACAAGGAAGGACTATCCCACAGCTCCGGGGGTGACGATCTGCTGCACGTATTTAGGGGAGCCCTCAACTGCTTCAGAGTGATAGTGTGGAGCCTGCAAGAGCCCTGGGTACACAGCTGGAGCCCCCGGTGCCTGACAGCGTCACGACTGAGTCAGGGTGTGGGCCCCCGGTGCCTGACAGCGTCACGACTGAGTCAGGGTGTGGGCCCCCGGGTCTGATGTCATCACGCTGGGTCAGGGTGTGGACCCCTGGGTCTGACGTCATCACTGCTGGGTCAGGGTGAGAACCGCCTCCATGCCTGATGTCATCACACTGGGTCGGGGTGTGGACCCCCACCCCCCCGTGTGACATCATCACTGCTGGGACAGGGTGAGAACCGCCTCCATGCCTGATGTCTTCACGCTGGGTCAGGCTGTGGACCCCCGTGTCTGATGTTATCACGCTGGTTCAGAGTGTGGACCCTCGTGTCTGAGGTCATCACTGCTGGGTCAGGGTGAGATCCTTGATCCTGTATCTGAGGTCATCACACTGGATGAGGGCGAGCCCCACCTCTCCCATGCGGCTAACCGGTCTGGTTGTGTACACCTGCACCAAAGCTGACAAAGTTCTTAAGCGCATTCTGAAGTTGAATTCAACGACAACATTTCTAGCCGGTGTTGTTGTTAAAGTGCCGTCGAATCGGTTCTGACCCATAGCGACCCTGTATAGGGTTTCTGAGGAGTGGCTGGTGAGCTTGAACCGCCAAGCTTGCAGTTTAATCTGACTTTGCAGTCCAGCGCGTTAACCCACAGCACCATAGCAGGACTCTAGCCAATTAGAGACTTCTTAACGGTGGAAGTGCCCTTCTTTATCACTGCTCTGCATGTGGCAGGACGGGGGTAGCCGTAACACCCTGATCTGAGCCACCAGTGAGGACCCTGGGAGCAGAGCACTGAGCTCAGGCCCCCCTGCCTGTACCCGCCGCCTTAGTGTGTGAGTCTCCGATCTGGGAGAGGAGCCGTGGAGCCGATGGTGGGAATAGCTCTGGCTGAGGGCCCCGGCCATCCACAGGAGGTGACCACACCCGGCCCCGCAGCCACCTGAGGAGTTGTGGTGCACCCTGGACAGAGCGAGGTTGGGGGACAGGTGATGTGAGGGTGTGGCCCACTGTGGGTGTCTGTGAACGTGTGTGTTATATTTGTATATATGGGCCATAAGCATGAGGCAGATGGCGCCCCGGGCCCAGGGGTGGCAGCACAGAGCTGGGCGGGGGGGTGGGAGGTGCTTGGTGCCTCCTCCCTGGACCATTGGTGACTAGACTTGGCATGCTAGGGCCTGTTGGCGTCCTAACACTATTTCAGTCTTAAATCCTTCGGGTCTTAACCCTCGTACAGACTTCTCTGGCTAACCGCTGAAGCCGCCCACTGAGCCGCAGGCTGTGGGTCAGGCCCCTTAGTATCTGGGCGTGTTGGACAGAAGGACCATTCCAAGGTGAAACCCTTGGTGCGGCGCTGTCGGATTAGCAGTGGACTGCTACCACTTTAAACCCACCAGCTGCTCTCAGAAACCCTACACAGGGCGTCTGTGAGTCGGAACCGACTCAACACCATGCCAGAACAACAGCAGCATAGACTTTGATGCGGGGCCAACCGCCTGGAAGAGATCCGTATTTGTGCTCATTCCAAAGGAAGATGACCAACAGATTGTAGAAATCATCAAACAGTATTATTAATAACATACAGAAGTAAAATTTTGCTGATGATAGTTCAAAAACAGCTGCAACAGCACATAACCAGAGAGCTGTCAGAAATTCGAGCTGGATTGACAAGAGGATGTGGAACAAGAGATACCATGCTGACATCACATGAACCAACTCCAAGCAGAGAATACTAGTAAGATGCTTGCTTGTGCTTCATTGACTATGCAAAGACTTTCTACTACTGTGTGGATCCAAACAAACCAGGGACAACATTGTGCAGAATGGGTATTCTAAAAGATACAACTGTGCTCAGGAGGAACCTGTACATAGACCAACAGGCCGCTGTTCGAACAGAACAAGGAGGCACGTTAAAACCGGGAATGGTGTGCACCTGGATTGTACTCTTTCCCCATACTTATTTAATCTGTACGCTGAGCAAATAGTCCAAGAGGCTGGATTATATGAAAAGGAACGTGGCATCAGGATTGGAGGACAAGACTCAGTAACAAGCTGCAACATGCAGATGATACAACCTTGTGGGCTAAAAGCAAAGAGGCCTCAAAACACTTACTGATGAAGATCAAAGAACGCAGCCTTCAGTATGAAGTACACCTCAATATAAAGAAAACAAAAATCCTCACCACTAGACCATAGATGGTGGTAGTGGTGGTTATGTGCCATAGAGTTGGTTCTGACTCATAGTGACCCTGTACAGGGTTTCTGAGGCTGTAAATCTTTATGGGAGCAGAAAGCCTCATCTTTCTCCCGTGAAACAGCTGGTAGTTTCAGACTGCTGACCTTGCTGTTCACAGCCTGATTCGTAACCTCTACGCTACCAGAGCTCCTTAGACCAATAAATAGCAACGTAATAAATGGAGAAAAGACTGAAGTTGTCAAAGACTTCATTTTGCTCAGATCAACCATCAACTGAGCTCATGGAAGCAGCAGTCAGGAAATCAAACTAAGTATTACATTAGGTCAGTCTGCTGCACAAGACCTCGTTAAAATGTTTAAGGGCAAAGATAATCAGTTTGAGGACTAAGGTGTCCTTGAGTCAACCCATGGTCTTCTCAGTATCCTCACATGCATGTGAAAGCTGGACAGTGAGTAAGGAAGACCACTGAAGATTGATGGAATTTTGGTGGTGGTGGTTGTTCAGTACCTATGAGT